GTGCGTCGTGGAAGATCGACATTTTTATTTATGAAGACAATCATCTGGAGACATGTCGACTAGAGGAACGAACAGTGTAGACAACTGTACGTCGTATGAGGCCGTGCTGGCTTCGATCCATCGAGATATCTATCAAGTATTTAGCCAATAATTCTACGAAGACAAACTTTTAAAACAAAATAATGTAGTTCATTTTGAAGCTCAGACAATTCTCTACCTTTCGACATACAAAACATTCCGGGTTTGAGCCCAGAGGGAAAAGCCCACTTCGTGGAGTGTTGGAGTCGCTTGGAGTGCCGTGGACTTACGGAAATTTAAGAAATTTTACCCACCTCAGCTAAACCTCGCTACATCAAAAGCTTCTGGCTTCTGTTCTCTTACGGGCTAGGCCTATAAAAGTTCGATTCAAGTTCCAATCGCAGAACTGTTGAACAGTTCTTTTGAAAGGAACTGACTTGTATAAGCAATTCTTTTGAAAGAACTCATTCATCCGAACAGTTCTTTTGCGCGGAACTAAACTACTCAAAATTTTATAAATTGATATATAAAAATAATCATAGTTTCTTTGACAAATAGAAAATAGGAATAGTAAATGCAGAATTGAAAGGGCTACAAACTACGTTGTTTCAACCTTTAAGTTTAAAAGACTTACTATCACAATGCAAAATTTTTCAACGTGAAATTTCGAAAAAAATTAAAGGAGTCGGATGGGATAGACATACGCACCAATCCACTCAGTCTTTTATCCTGATTCCGAATATGATACTGACAACCCCACTAGACTATTTGGCTAGTGTTTCTATGCTTCGTCGTCCCACTGGAAGCTGATCCCTCATGTGAAAAAGCTGGTGCGTCGTGGAAGATCGACATTTTTATTTATGAAGACAATCATCTGGAGACATGTCGACTAGAGGAACGAACAGTGTAGACAACTGTACGTCGTATGAGGCCGTGCTGGCTTCGATCCATCGAGATTTTACTGAAATAGATGTTGTACGACGAAGCATCTGTGATGGTGACCCATTCTCAATTCAATCACTTGATGACTCTACTCACCCTGTAAGAAATAATACCCGCGACCGGCCTCTCTCTTGTCCAGAGATGGAGGTTGTCGGCCCGAGTGACAGAATTGTAATTATGCATATCTTTACTAGTGTCGTAAAACACAAGAAGAGTAGATTGTGCCTCCAGGATCTTTCCTTGTACTGTTCATCTTCTTGCTGACTTTTATTGATTTATTTTTTGTGTGGAAAGGAAAAGAAAGAATATTGAAAGAAGAAACAATAAGCACGTATCAGTATTATGTGTTTTAGACAGTAACAAGGTAGTTGTCCATTAACTACTGATTTTAGTTTAAGCATGTCTTATTTCATTGTGATGTTTCACGTCATTCGTTCTTTCGTTCGTTTTTTTCCACCTTAGAAAAATTTTTAACAGAGTAAATAGCAAACGATGCGTAATCAAGCAGGATCACATCGTTGTTCTTGCGCCGGTTTTTTTCATCTTAAAATAATTTTTGCAACGGTGTAACATTTTATCTTTGTTTATAATTTGTAAACAAAGAAAATTTTTAATGATCCAATACATGGTTCCATTGAATTAAATTCTTTATTAGTTAAAATAATTGATACACCACAGTTCCAGCGTCTAAGACGTATCAAACAACTGAGTGCAACTGATTATGTATTTCCAGGCGCATCCCATAATCGATTTGAACATTCAATTGGCACCTGTTATATAGCTGGTGAATTGTTAACATTGTTGCAACAGCAACAGCCACATTTAGACATAACAGATCAAGATAGAATATGCGTACAAATAGCTGCTTTATGTCATGATCTTGGGCATGGTCCGTTCTCACATTTATTTGAAGATGTTATAAGAGAAACGAGACCTGATAGAAACTGGACACATGAAGAAGCATCGATTAAACTGTTCGATTACCTAACTGATCAAAATAATCTGAAACCAATGCTAAGTCAATATAAGCTTGATGATACTGATATTATATTCATTAAAGAATTGATTGCAGGCCCATTACCAGAATTCAATGGAAAGGTATATAAAGTTTCCTTATTCTTCACGTCTCACTCACAATTTCTTATATCTTTGAAGCATGTCGGTCGTGAGTTTAAATCAAAACAATTTTTATACGAGGTATCAAGATAGAAATTTTCATAGATCAGACAGCCACTTAGAGTTTTTCTTTAGATTGTTTCAAATAGACGAACTGGAATTGATGTTGACAAATTTGATTACTTTGTACGTGATTGTCGACAATCAGGAGTATTACACTCATTTGAGTATAAGCGTTTTATGAAATTCTATCGTGTTTTACAATTGGACAACGGTACAAGAGAATTATGTATTCGAGACAAAGAAGTGAGATCGTGTTATGATTTGTATCGGACAAGAGCTGAGATACATCAAGCTGTACAACATCCGGTTGTGAGAGGTAAAGAGAGCTTTTAAAAGAAACACTATTAATAGGCACGATTTCCATAGTCGACTAGCCACTCCATATCATTTTCATCCATTAAAGTGGAAATGATGTTTTCGACCAATAGGAATCACCGTAGAGGTCGCTCATACTCATTTTCTGATTCCCCATAGTCGACTACCTACTCCATATCATTATCAGCCAATCAACTTTTGCTGTACTAGTTTGTCTGTCGCTAGTATCTAGTCTGCGGACATACAAACAAACATACAAACATACATACAAACATACATACAGGCATTTTAACTCGATAAGACCCTTTCCTTTACAGTCAAGGGAATAATGCTGTATACGAACGCAAATTACTAAACACGTTTTTCTGTATATAATTTTTTCTTTCTTTGCTTCAACAGTACGAGACTGTGTATGGCATGGCACAGCATCATAGTAGGATGAAGGAACACGCTGTTCTTCTTTTCCCCATAAAGGAGACACATGTTTGAAAATGGATGAGTGAACCGTGGTCGAAGAAACTCTTCTGATTTGTTTTCTAATGGCAAGACCCGAATAAAATCCGAAAATGTTTTTCCTTTGATCCTACTTGAATCAATAATTTTTACATTGACCCGAACCAGATTCGATCCGTTTCGGTCTCTGATATACAAGTTTCTTGACTGCTTAATGCATTATTCTTCCCTTTCTGAACGTTTTGTATTAGATTCATCATGGCCTATTGCATTCCAAACATCTCTAGCAACTAAAACGTTGTGTTCAATACTACGGATTCCACCGTGACGCGACAATTCCACAAACGACATTCCGCGAACAGAAGCCCCGACTCTTCCACGAATTTTTCATAGTACAAATTTGGGTATTTTTGGCAGTGTCTCGTGGGAGGTATGGGAAGGAGTTCGAAAAGTAGTTCCACATGTATATCTGTAACTGTGTCACATAATCACTGTTCACCCCATAAACTTCACTCACGTTTCACGTCGTTCGCGAAAATGTCGTTGTATCACACGTCTCATTTTTCAGATCATAGACTAAGTTATGATTGAAATCTATTAAAAATAATTCAGCAGAAATAGTTACCAAGGAATATATATGTTTTTGTAATTCCGTCAGAAAAATTTTTAACTTGAATCATGTATGCTGTTACATAATGTTCGGAAGTTTGATAACGCAATGATTAATTAAACATTTATGAAATAGGTTAGAAATAAAATTATAATTATTCCTGACAAGATATCAGAGGAAGAATTATTCTTTTTGGAGAAATTTAAGCAATTTTTGGAATCCAGGCTAAAGAAGATTGTAATGACGGTTGATTGACAAAATAGTTTGTCTATTAACTAGTGGCAACGCCAGGGGTGGGCTGAGCCCACCCGAAAGGAAGTTAGGCCCACCCTGAAAATTTTTCAATGTATTCGAAATGAGCTTAATGTTTTTTCTGCTGTTCCCAAAATGGGTGGGCTTAGCCCACCCCAGAGCAAAATCCTGGCACCGCCACTACTATTAACTAAAAGGCAATGGCAATGATTAACAATAAAATCCTCAACATTCCGACTTATGGTTGAGGGATCGTCAGTTTGAAGTCGAATGAAATCTGCATGGACATAAACCGTATGCATTTTTCATACACAGCTGTCCACAAGTATTCGATGATTGCAGACAATTGCTATTAATCTTGCGTAAATTTGCGTACCATCTTGTTTTTAAAATGCATCAATGCACGAAAAAAATGCCAACTAACAGAGCACACTGTACAGATCTAACAGCGTTATGTTATTTTTGGCTTATGAAAGTGCCTCGTCACCAAAGAAAAGATTCTCTTTTGTGGAAACAAACGGAAAAGATACATACAATAAATTCTTGAATGGCTTTGATAATTGAAAAAAATGACACAATTTACTGTAGGCTAATGATATTAATGGAGATAGCAAATAGAAAGACGAAAATTATTTCCATGCATTTCAATGATGACGTTACAGTTATTGTATCGGCGTGCGTTTCAGCAGCGTGAGTGTTATTTAGGCCATCGTACAATCTAGAGCAGCAGATTCCAATCTTTATGGCTAATAATCTTTTGCTCATTAGGGAACACCAGGTAAGGTTGAAATACCAGTTGACAGTCGAATGAAATAATAGTAGCAGGAATGAGTTAATCGCATTGGAAAATAGTACAGCTTGTTGGTCAAGTAATCAAAGAATACAGTTGTAATCAGATAGATCGATCAATACCCAAACTATCTTTGGAGCACATGAAAACACAAATGTTTTCCTATTTCTCGGCTTAAAAGGAGAGGGATACCTCTAATAGACTAACGAGGGAATCTCGCCTACTGATACGCTCCGTTCGAGCTCATATTTTGACCATAGGTGGGGCTCATGGAGTACATAAACATCCTGAAAGGGTTCGTGCTCTTGACCCGGTGTTGTCAAGATATTCAGTTTTTTCGTCGTGGGAAAAGTCTATCGGCGTAGTTCCCCTCAGGTATGTGAAAAAACTTATTTTCGAGTTTCGAGGTGAAACTTTGGCCACAGATAGATGTCGATGAGAGTAGTTGATCCTGAAACTTTCAGCTTCTCCCAACCTTTATTAAGGACACACGACCGAAAATACTAAGGTCGCCCTCCGCACTGTCGTTTACAATCAAGTTTTTTAGAGTCGACGGTTACCGAACAGAATGAGTTGTAGTTCTGAACGTTTCTGGATCAACTACTCTCATCGACATCTATCTGTGGCCAAAGTTTCACCTCGAAACTCGAAAATAAGTTTTTTCACATACCTGAGGGGAACTACGCCGATAGACTTTTCCCACGACGAAAAAACTGAATATCTTGACAACACCGGGTCAAGAGCACGAACCCTTTCAGGATGTTTATGTACTCCATGAGCCCCACCTATGGTCAAAATATGAGCTCGAACGGAGCGTATCAGTAGGCGAGGTTCCCTCGTCAATGTTGAGATCATGCTGACACTTGTCGCCAACCCTCATCGACCAATGAATGGAATGATGGTACGGAAATCGTTCAAGCAAGCCTCGAAGATGTCGTGCCACCTCTTTGGCAAAGTATTCTTGGTAGGTCCGCTCTTCTTCTTCCACCTGAGTTGGTACAAGTTGTACACGAGCTGCCAGTGAGATTGGTTCTTGCCCAAGGCGAGAATAAGCAACATCATCCAGACTGTCAGACGAAGGCCTACCTGCCGTTGTTGCACTCGTTGTCCAACGCTTAGATAGAAGAGAAATATGTTCGATGATCGATGCATCACGCTTCACAGAACAATCCTACTTCGTTGATCTGGTTACGAACTGCTCCTGCTGCTGCTGATGACGACGATGATGTCGATGATGACAATGGTTGCAGACGAGTGCTGAAACTTCGACGCTGCATAGTTCCTGAATGATTGTGAATAATCTGAAATGATCAGACACAATATTCAGGTGTTTCCAGCGTTCCCATCGTTTCCATGGCACTCTTTCATTCAGAAATCGAGTACAAGACCATCAAGCTCATCGTGTATCATTGATTCAACATCGAAATCAGTCCATGAGCATCTTCGATTAATATCTCGTGCAGAGGGTGAGGGTCAGTGTATGAGGTGCATGTGCATGACTTGTCTGCATTCATCCACAGACCTGACACCCTCGATCTCCTTTAGGACGAACGAAACGCATTGCAAGTGTACTATAAATTCATTCGTATGAGACCGACCGTCACTCCTCAAGATTCCAGTTGTTGCCTTTGAATGGTTGTATAAATAATTCAGTGATGTCTTGTTTTCTTACAATTCTTTATTCTACCTTTTATCAGATAACGGCTGAATTAAAACCTTTAACGCATGTTTTTATTCTACTCTGTTCTACAGCCTCTATAAGGGAGCCGGACAGTTGCTCGCGGGGACAGTTGCTCGCGGACATTTGCTCGCGGACACTTGCTCGCCAGGACACTTACTCGCTAGGACACTTGCTCGCCAAAAATTGGAAATTAACTTGATTACTTGTACTCAAACGCTATCTCCCAAATTCACCGATTATAAGAAGAATCACACAACAGAATCAAACAAAGCGTCATAATAAT